ATAAACAATAAAAAATAATGTATCATATATACATATATCTAATAACGGCAAGAACTAACAAATGTGTTCTCTTATTGGTGGTGGTATTCCTCTATTGCTGAGCGTTGTTTGTTGTCGTTTTGTCATTGGGCCTTTTTGTGGTAGGATTTTAGGCAGGTTTAGGAGTATTTTCGGAAAATCTTCTGCAGGTTGTTTCCTTTCTTCTTTTTTACCATTCTATTTTCCAATTATTTATGTGTGATAATATATTTCTTTATCATTTATATGCAAAAAATCTTTTTGTCGATAATACTAATGTATGTATATTAATATAAAAAACTAAAGTTCTTCAAATTCTTGAGGACGAAATAGAGAAATAGAGAAATAGAGAACAAATAATAAAAAAAACTTTGAAATAGTAAAAAAAATAGTAAAAAAATTTCAATTTTCTATATTATTTTTTTTAAACAAAATTTCTTCGTTAACATGGACTAGGCCTCCTGGGGACACCATGTAAAAAAAAACGTGCGATGCATTATACCTCAAAGGTGGTCTGGAAATTAGTACGCAACTAGAAACATGAAAATTGTCACTTCTATTTAATTAACGATAACCTTTCATGTATGTCGATCTAGTAACTATAAATGATTATGCAGTTAATTAAATAAATCTCCATTTCTCGGCAATTATTCGCTTGCAAAAGCTAATAGTCGATACACTTGTACCCCTTGTACTGATGTTCCGTTTATACTTATTCAGTATCTTTTAAGTGCATATATATGTAAAATAGCGTTAACTATTCAAACTGCCATATAAACTGAAGGTTTAATCTTAAATCGATTTCTATATAATTTTATTGTAATACATTTGGCAAAGCTAAATCATACTATTTTTAAAAAATGTTTTATGAATTATTGGTAATTATTTTATATACATATGTATGTGTTCTTATGATTGTACTACTTCCTAAGATTTAATATAAATATTATGTAAATGCGATAAAATTGGAAATCCATAACTAATAACAATTAATTACGAAAACAATTATAACTCTTTCTTCAAATGCCATCATAATGAAAAATTGTTTCAATGCAGCAAATAAAATTTTAATATCTCTTGCCCCCGAAATTACATACAAAAATATCAATGTCCATATATTCATATTTAAACACAAAGCAAGTAGGCATGAATGAATATAAAATAGCAAATAATTCTTTTTACTACTTACATTATAATTCAAGAATGCAATAACAACACCTCAAAGAGCAAAAGGAGAAAAAAACACAAAAAAGAAATATAAAAATTTCTTGAAGCTATGAAGCAGAGAATATTGCAAAATCTTCTTTGGTATGAAGCAAAAACGACTGAAGCGACGTCGGCAGAGATTTGAGTGATTTAGGTACCCAGTAGTAGATACCTAGAACAAAAATTAATTTCTATGGCATTGTGACTCTATAATATTTTTACTCAATGGTGTAAGGTAAGTTAAACCATTGAGTAAAAATATTATAGAGTCACAATGACTCAATTTTTAAATTTTCAGCAACAGGCACGGGAGGGCGGAGTGAAGATATTTCTTCTTTCTGCGCTGCTGCTAGATCGGTCGCGCTTATGCTTGTTCTTTCTTAAAATTTTACTATTGATGACTGAAGGACAAAAATGAAAACAAAAAACAGATTTGCTTGTTACGAATGCAGGCAGTACAAGAAAACAGTCAAATTAGTTTTTGGTGTAATTATTTGTTTTTGCAATGAATGCTTGGCACCAGCAAGCAGTACGTAAAAATTTCATGCATTTAATATCACTTCATAATGCAAATAAGAGAAACATCCCTACTTGTTTGGAAGTTTACTGATCTACATATATATATGTATGTGTATAAATGTATATTTATAAACATATGTACTTTTATTTGGAAGAATATGAATATTTTTTGATCTTATTTTAGGAACATTTGAAGCAAATGCAACCAATTTCAATTTTTTGTTTTAATCAGGTATAATAACAGTTATATGAATGTTATATTAGTATTAACTAAAATAAGATAATTGTATGTAATTGACCGTGTGTGAGTTCGAGTAATTGAAAGTAAATTGAGGAAAATAGTAAATTATGTCCGTATGGCAGTGAATGTTGGTATTTACCAGAATTTCGAGTGTGGTAAATTAGGTAAATTAGGTATTACCATTGGTAACTTTTTATAAGATATATAATAAAAAAATAAATAATTTTGAAAACTTTTAACATAAGTGCAGTGCAAAAAAACCCTAGGAAATTTTAGTTTACTTTACCATAATTTACCGAGTTGGTTTATTGGGGCCTGCAGACTTCATCGAATTGAATTGCTGGGCTTTATTCTGCTTATATTACTTCGTAAGCAATTCCTTTGTATGGTAGAGAAAGTGAAATCGACTAAGGCATAAATTGTTATATGACCTTATATTACAAATTTGCCCTAATACAGGCTTAATAACATTAATTAATTATAATTTATTTATTACCATAACTACTTACTTTATTTATTTATTTTGTTCAACATACATAGTTTAAGTGAATTAATTTTAAGATAGTTATTAATAAACATGTGTTAATAAATATGTATAAATATGTAAATATTAATATTTATTACGTAGAAACTTTCGCTATTTTTTATGGTTATTCACGGGATATTGATCAATTAATTAACAAAGCAGTTTATACATATAAACAATAAAAAATAATGTATCATATATATATCTAATAACGGGAAGAACTAACAAATGTGTTCTCTTATTGGTGGTGGTATTCCTCTATTCCTGAGCGTTGTTTGTTGTCATTTTGTCATTGGGCCTTGTTGTGGTAGGATTTTAGGCAGGTTTAGGAGTATTTTCGGAAAATCTTCTGCAGGTTGTTTTCTTTCTTCTTTGTTACCATTCTATTTTCCAATTATTTATGTGTGATAATATATTTTTTTATCATTTATATGCAAAAAAACTTTTTGTCGATAATACTAATGTATGTATATTAATATAAAAAACTAAAATTCTTCAAATTCTTGAGGACGAAATAGAGAACAAATAATAAAAAAAAAATTTGAAATAGTAAAAAAAATCTCTTTTCTATATTATTTTTCTTAAACAAAATTACTTCGTTAACATGGACTAGGCCTCCTGGGCACACAATGTAAAAAAAACGCGCGATGCATTATACCTTAATGGTGGTCTGGAAATTAGTACGCAACTAGTAACATGAAAATTGTCACTTCTATTTAATTAACGATAACTTTTCATGTATGTCGATCTAGTAACTATAAATGATTATGCAGTTATTTAAATAAATCCCCATTTCTCGGCAATTATTCGCTTGCAAAAGCTAATAGTCGATACACTTGTACCCCTTGTACTGATGTTTCGTTTATATTTATTCAGTATCTTTTAAGTGCATATATATGTAAAATAGCGTTAATTATTCAAACTGCCATATAAACTGAAGGTTTAATCTTAAATCGATTTCTACATAATTTTATTGTAATACATTTGGCAAAGCTAAATCATACTATTTTTAAAAAATGTTTTACGAATTATTGGTAATTATTTTATATACATGTGTTCTTATGATTGTATTACTTCCTAAGATTTAATATAAATATTATGTAAATGCGATAAAATTGAAAATCCATACTTAATAACAATTAATTACGAAAACAATTATAACTCTTTCTTCAAATGCCATCATAATGAAAAATTGTTTCAATGCTGCAAATAAAATTTTGATATCTCTTGCCCCCGAAATTACATACAAAAATATCAATGTCCATATGTTCATATTTAAACACAAAGCAAGTAGGCATGAATGAATATAAAATAGAGAATAATTCTTTTTACTACTTACATTATAATTTAAGAAAGCAATAACAACACCTCAAAGAGCAAAAGGAGAAAAAAACACAAAAAAGAAATATAAAAATTTCTTGAACCTATGAAGCAGAGAATATTGCAAAATCTTCTTTGGTATGAAGCAAAAACGACTGAAGCGACGTCGGCAGAGATTTGAGTGATTTGGGTACCCAATGGTAGATACCTAGAACAAAAATTAATTTCTATGGCATTGTGACTCTATAATATTTTTACTCAATGGTTAAACTTAGATTTATTAAAACCTTTTAAGACTGCAGTTCCCTGTTTTACTGAATGTCTCTACTTCTCTACTTTTGAACTCCAGCTATAGAAACTTCGGTTCATAATTTTTATAGTCATTTAAATGTTCAAAGATGCCAAAAATTATAATAACTTAATTATATTTTAAAAGTAAAAGAATTATGTTCCCTTTTCCATATAATATATAATAAATGCAGAGTTATGTATATCATTTGAGTGTATGCTTATTTGATTATAATATGAAATAAGTTTTAAACTTATCTGTAGTTTAGTGATATACAATTGCTTAACTTTTTTTAATTATTAAAAATACATTAGATCAAATGTACCTAATGTTAAATAATAATTATATTGTAAGTTATCACCATCAACCAATTGTATACAATTGATTTTAAATGATTTTAGCTTAGACTGCAAAAATTTTATTGTTTACCATAGATAATTATTTTAGAATATCATTATAACTGCTGTTCTGTATTGTTAAAAATAACACATTAAAAATCAATTTGCAATTGGTAATATTAAATTCTAAGCTCATTGGCTACTCAATACTCAATACAATTTTTAATTTTTCTCTAATTTTCTAAGCATTAAACATTCAGTACCGCAAAGTAGTTGTTTAAAATGAAAAATTTGCTTATATATCTCAAGATTTTGTTATGCTTATACTTGAGATATGCACTTGCAGCAAAGGTAATAATTTTTTAACTAACTAACTAACCATAAGATTTGTCAATATATATTTAAAAAAAATTTTCATTATAGTCAAATTTTGATATGGCCTTTACCAATTGCACCTGTGCGCCTAATTTTAAGAACGATTATCTCGCTACACTCAACTGTTATTTGAGTAGGAATATCAAAAGGCGAACTTTTTCGATTGAGATGACTTTTAAGAAGGATGTACCCACTTTTTTTCTCAACTTACGTTTCGTTTTACCACAAAAAAATACTGAATTTGTAATACTTAATCTTACGAATATGAATGGTTGTGACCTATTGGGGAACTCCAAACAAACAACTTTGTTGAAAATCGGACGCGAGCATATGGATCGCTTCAGTAATATGCCTAGACATTGTCCGTTTCTTAAAAGTCAAGTTTACTACATACGTGGCTTTCGTGCAGATATGAATTCGTTTCCTGCATTTTCATTCGATTCGGAATTTCATGTGTTTTTCGATTTCATTGTTCAACAACAGACACTCTTCAAAGGCTTCATACTAACCCGTGTTTTCAATAAAAATTTTAAGGGGAAACTTTTCTAAGCCTTAAATTCGTTTGCTTGTTTGTTTGTATTTACTTGGATAAAAAACATTAAAAATATATTAAAAGAAATTCATTTCAATGTATTTCAAATAAATTGAATATTTTATTTTTATTTTAAAATATTTTTGTTTATCGTGTTTGTTTTTTTTTTTTGGTAACCGTATTTCATGTGTTTTTAGGAATACAATTGGCATATAAATTTAATTTTTTTTTTGTTTGGAAGCTGCAAAGTTTTAAATTTAAATATTTTTAAGTGTTTTCTGGCACTGGCAAAACAATTTTAAAAGTTTTGCCTTCTCTGGCGTTAAATAAGAAAATAAATGTGTACAAAATTAAATTGAAGAAGAGAAGTTACTCCTCTGTTTCCAAATTCAAATACTAAGTTTAAATTTAAAATTTACATATGTACACTTTCTGGTTGAATTAAAATGGTTCAAATTTGTATTCTGTTTACTGCATTAAATTACTTAGTTTCATATAAATTTCCTTACTTCAGTATTTACCAAAAGATTTACTCAAAAGAATTTAAGTAAAAACATTTCATGGGAAAAAACTTATTTATTTAAAATTTATTGCATTTTTGTAATATAAAGTTTTATTAGTTAAAAAAACTTTAAAGTAAATCAAGCAAATAGCTTATATGGAAAAAATGAAGTGTTAAAATTTTTTTTTTTTTTGGAAACAGTAAGTAAGGAAAATATACAGAAATACTCAGATATAAAACTATATCTATATATCACAAACACATAGTTTTCGAAGCATATTTTTTTTTATATTTTATAAAAAGTATAAATTTAAAACACTGCTGTATTATCAGTTCGTTTAGTATAGTAAGATAATTGATAATAAATTAAGCATATGTGGTTGCTATACAAACTAAAAACATTCGGTTCTACACATGGGAATCTATGATATAAATCACGAAGAAACATTGTGCGCCTTAGTAAATTATCCAGTTTCATTAGATGACTGAAAAAATATACCCAAAAATTAAAAAAATAATTCGAAGAATATTTATACATATATTTTTAACAATAGATTTAATAAATAATGTTATAATGTTGTATCTTAGAAGCAAAAAAGTAATAGCTTAGAGGCATTGAACTCTTGAAATAAGAAGTATGCATCTAATCTATAGCGAACTTGTAGAGAAACATTTGCATAGAAACATTCGAATATTTCCTAAAATCCCTGATGATGAGTACTTGGCAATACGCGTTGTATGGTTAGCCAAATTTCAATAAATTAACTAAATTTTTGTTCTTGTCTTTTCTTTGCTATTCGAATCCTTCTAACTTTTAAATATTTTTTTTTCGCATCACTCTCGGCAAGAATAAATTAACATTTAAATGAATTTATATATATAACTAGATAATGTAGACTTATTAAATCTACATAAATGTTTCTTATGAACATTATAGCTAATGATGTTGCAATACATATTGATCTTGCTGTATACTATTGTGATAACATCACGCTCGTATGATGACATTTATTTATATATGAAGGTCAACAGTTTTGGAAGTTGATAAGGTATTATATTGCAAGTTATTTTATCTGTTAATTGTCCGCTTTCTTCTAAAATATACCTTTATTCAAAAAATTATACAAAAACCTTTAAATGCAAAATCAATCATCACAACTCCAACAAAAACTATATATGTATAATATTTAACTTTAGTATATATAATCTACAGTTTAGTTAAATGTATTAATTTTGTTTTATAAAATAAATTTAAACTTAAACAATCTTTAGACTATTGTATATAATTCGACAAATATATAACAGCACCTGCAAGTTTTTATACAAAATCTATTTAACATTTTAGAATAGCCTAAAAGAACAAATCTTTTAGAATAGGAAAAAAATATTCGCAACTTTCGAATAAAGACATGTGAAACAACAACAATGCTCTTAAAATTTTCAGAGTTAGGTTTTACTCGTAAAAACTTTTACGTCTCAAGTTATAGTGCAGCCAAATTCAAAATTCAGTCTATCGTGAATGTTCACTGGAAATATGTTTCTTGTATTTAAATTAATTATTTTTTAGGGATTATAATTTTTATGTCATATTGTACACAACACAACAATATTAATATGTCAAAAATAAGCATTTAATATATTTTAAAAGTGATGCAAATTTATTTCAACCTGACTTAATGCTGTTTTTTTTACAACTCTCAAAGAGTTGCAATGCTACACTTTAAATAATAAAACCAACATTTTTATTAGTACCTTTTATTGGTTCTCCCCTTTTTTAAAGCGTGTACTTTGTTTTTTGATTTCTCTATATTTTATTTTCGTAAATCACACTTTGTATTCACAAGTATGAATGTTAGTAAATACCATTTGTTCGATTTTCGTTTAGCAATTCAAATCAATTTCTTCAAGCAGTTATGGTATTTGTTTAATACATTAAGTTATATTCCGATATAGGTAAAAAGGTAATCGTTAGTCGTTTCTAGTATTAGTCTCAGACACGTCGTTACCATCCATTCCATTGACATATTAATAAATTATTATAATATAATTTGTTACTTAAGTTTTGGTCGGAAGTTTGTTATAAAACCTCATGTAAAAATTATATTACTGTTACGAAATAAATTATAATTGTATAGGTCTCTCCTAACTTCGAAGAATTAATACAATAGTCATCGGGTTCACCATTTCTATTTCCTAATAAGCAATATTCTTCTGATATCTTCAATTTTGAACAATGACATATGCTTTTTATTGGTCTGTTATAATTTTTTCTAATCCTTCTTCAAAGATGCGACATTTTTCTTATATAGCTGGGGTTGGAATTTGAGGTTGCCATTGTATAAATACTAATATTTCGCATTAATTAAACTATAAAATTTTGGTTATTATTGTTTTCAATTAAAACAAGTTTTTTTGATCAAATTGGACAGAACAACTATTCCTGCAAAATTTTTATTAAAAAGTTTCAAATTTCAATTTCAAAAATAAACTAAATTTACAGCTTTCAGTTTTTATTTACTTTTTACTATGCAAACGGAACACATTGATTGCAAAAAAAGTTTCAAAGCTGAATGACCTTTTTCAATTACCCTTTTTCAAATATTGGATAACATTTAGCTAATACTGATCCTTTTAGGGAAATGCCATTGCTGCATGTTGAGTGTTAATAAAAAACACCTACGGCTTAACTGCTTTTATGTTATGTTTAAAAGTGACTTTTGAAGATAGAAAGGGTTAAAAAATCGGAAAACAAAAAAAAATTGATATAAAACATACACGGTTGAAATAAAAAAGGATAAGTAGGACTAAAATCTATTTTTGAATTTAATTCATATTTTTTTATAAGTTTTTTATTGGATCTAAATCAAAAATATGATTCTCTTTGAAATTTCCAAAGTTTTGTAATTGGCAGTTGTGTATTATTGACGCAGTTTAAAGTATATGAAGTGGATTTAAAAAAAAACATGAATTTTTAAAAATAAGTATTTGCGGTGTAGTTATCTACTACTAATAATACAGATTTAGAAATAGTGTCAGTCCTTCAGAACGTCATTAAAAGTTTTTGTTCACAAAATACTTTTCCACCATCGGCGAAAGTATTCCTCTAGAAAAACAAGTCGCAAGCCAACTAAACACAGTAAATAGTTGATATGTAATGTTCAATGTTATTCAAAAATCCAGTCACAAATATTGCTCCATGAAAACAATTTTCGTTTTTCAGTCAAATCATGCAGCTGTAGTTTGGTGGTCTTAATGTTCGGTATTACCATAAATGTATAAAACATATTTAAGGAAAACCAAATATATTCTGCATAAACAATGTTTGAGAAGGATCATATTGTATTATAACATATAATATGGGTTATAATTATATTTCTTTATAAGAATTTTAAAGTAGCCATAAATTAAGCCATCTTAAATAGATCAAAGCCGGAGTGAAGAATATTTACTGTTGCACAGTTGCATTTGAGATATATCAGAAACCGCGTTTAGCCATGTCTGATAATGACAGTGTGCCTTAACAAATATTTATATGACTCGCAAAATTGGTATACAGGGTATTGCTCAGGGTATTGGAACAGGAATAAAAGAATCCAGGCCACACAAATCAATTACACTGAGCACAGACACCACAATTTTCCATGCAGTATTTTATGCTATAATAGAGACCGTGGAGATCTAATGCAAAAAAGGATTTAAAAGAGTCAAAACCAAAACTCTTCGACAGTCAATCAGTTCTTAAAGCTCTAAACAGCTACACATTCCTTCCATCAAATGTCCTTATAGAGCGTAGCAAAGCACTCAATCAACTGGCTACCTACAAGCAGGGCTCTCTCATTTGTGTACTCGACTATGATGGACACGAAGACTTTCTTTGGTTGCAATAAAAAAAAAATAAAACATGAGACCAAAAAATGAATCCAACAAAAAATCACAGAATATTAGATAGCATTAACGGCATAAATCACTTCAAAAAATTTTTGAATTTTGACGCAAAAGAGCAAACATTAGTCTAGTCAATCTAAACAAGAAGAGTCCAAAGTCACTCTCTGGCGCACTAAGAGTCACAATACTTTAAAACCAGAATAATATGGATTTTTAATCCTGAATCATATAAAATTTTTAAATAATGAATGGCAATGATTTTTTGCATATTAAAAATAAAATATAAAATTTTTTTTTTTAAAATAATAAGTGCATAAATTTAATTCTTATACAATAAAAATAAAGACATTTAATTGATATATATTATATATACTTATAACCCGCTGCGTATCTTTGAACAAGACTTCGACACGGTTCAAAATTTCTCTACATTGAATTTACAATTGAAATTTAATGAAATTACTTCAAGCGATTGAAAAGCAGATAAACTAGATGGACAGAATACCTCTGGAGCTCATTCTTAACATCTGAAAGTTCTAGATTTACTACTAACGTCATGCAAGCAGTTCTTGTAATGAGCAATACACAAAAGATAAACGATATACACACATTAGTGCACAAGTCAACTCC